AATTAGCATGGCAGAAGAACCGACTATGGGCACTTTATCGCGATCCACGAGCTTGAATAGCCAGCAGGGAGATCAATCGTGGGAAGTTCAGAGTATGGGTAGCTTGCGCTCGATGATAGCGTCGAAGGACAGTCCGTTGGATCTTAAAACCGTGCCAAAAATGTCTCAAGGACATTTTATAGCTTTATGGAAAACTCTTTACGATATGTTTCCCGCGCAACCTGAAGAACAAGAGACGTATCATTGTATTGCTTCCATAGGTAAGATATCTACACACATTGTTTTGTACATCTAAAAATCTTGCTTCGTAATAAAATACAATTTGTTTAATTATAATGGAATAAAATAACTCAAAAACCCCACAGGTACCCTTCTGCTCCAATTAGGAGACGTTGGTAAGAAATTTTACGTAGAGAGAGAAGAATCTGAAGATAGCTTGCTTCTAGCTGCTTCTGCAGCTCAAACATCTTCAGTTATTGAAAGAGTATATATATTTTTATTCTACTGGCAATTAATATTCTTTATTACAATAGTACGTTTATTTATTCGGTACTTGTTTCAGTCACCCGATCGTAATGGAAATCCATCAAGTATAGCGTCATCCGCTGATCCCGATTGGTCGATAACTGTTGAGCAATTTTTGGCATCTGCTTTAACGGGCCAGGCCATAGTGGATTTTTTTAGTAAACGAACTGATCTCATGGAAGCTATGGCAACACTGAAGAATCGTAGATTCAATCGAGTTCATTCTTTATCAGACACTCCAACCCTGAATGGATGACATATGGTAATCAATGTGTAAGAGAATATATCTATATATTTCTCATAAATGATTGGCTCTTAGACAAATTGACAAAAGAAAAGATAAAAAATTGTTTAAGAAAAACACACTCATATATTATTACTATTGAAAAATGGATTTTAATTTGCAATGAAATTTTGCACAAGTGACAATATCTAAACGATATATATAATCGAAAAGTCGCTTCAGGATTTATGTAATTCTTTTCTAAATTTTTGTTGATGAATATTTTTGATAAACCTTTTTTTAAATGAAATTATATACAGCATTAAGTTTATTCTTAGTAATCTCTAATATTCTCTTTTACAAGACAGGTTTAGTCATATTCCAATATATGCATACAAAAAAATATAATCCATGAAATATGCTTTATCTATTACAGTATCAACGATAGTTTTATTATTAATTTTGAAAAATTTCTCAAGAGAATATACATTTAGTGTATAGATATTGGCCTACTTTATTAATCATATATCTGGTAAATATATAACGAGATGTATCAATAGTAAATACTCAGGGTAGAATTTTGAAATCAGTTCCATTAATTTAAGATTATGTATAAGTAATAAAAATTTTCAAGCATCTAATACTAATATGATATATATGTGTGTGTGTGTGTGTGTGTGTGTGTGTGTGTGTGCGTGCGTGCGTGCGTGTGTGTGTGTGTGTGTGCGTGCATGTATGTATGAGATGCATTTTTCCAAACATATTATTGTTTAACAGAAATATATCAAATAATTACGAAGAATGTAATGTATGGTAAAAAACATTGGATATATGTCAATAGTTATTTACTTATAAGCTTATTATTCTAAAATTCTGCTTTACAATGTTAAACATTAAACTTTATGTACAAATATTACAGAATGTTGACATATTATTCAAGTATTATTTGCTTAGCTATTATGCAAAAATAAGTGAAGAAATATTAAATATAGAATGTGCGTGCGTGCGTGTGTGTGTGTGTGTGTGTGTGTGCATGCATGTATGTATGAGATGCATTTTTCCAAACATATTATTGTTTAACAGAAATATATCAAATAATTACGAAGAATGTAATGTATGGTAAAAAACATTGGATATATGTCAATAGTTATTTACTTATAAGCTTATTATTCTAAAATTCTGCTTTACAATGTTAAACATTAAACTTTATGTACAAATATTACAGAATGTTGACATATTATTCAAGTATTATTTGCTTAGCTATTATGCAAAAATAAGTGAAGAAATATTAAATATAGAATTAAAAAATAAAAAGTTGCTTAGAATGTATTCATATATTTACAACGGACTTGCGAGCATTGCAAAATTCATCTTGCGACAATTTCATGTTATAAATTCCTTACATCTATGGCAAATTTTAGCAAAACACAGGAAAAGATAATATGGAAATACATCAAACATGCTCCATAAGAATATGCCATATGTTATCTCAAATGAATAAAAAAAAGCAGAGCATCTTTTATAATTCATTTATAATCACAATATTAACTCAGAATTTTTCAAGTATACGCAATTAAAAATTATATCTTAAGAATTATTCTATAAACAATATACGTAAATAATGAAAATTCAGCTGCATACTATAAAATGAGATAACATAATGCAATTTTGATATGCAGTATTATTCGAGAACTCTCTGATTGTTGCCTTCCAATAATATAAATTTCTGATTTATTCATGAAAAGTTTCAAAGTACCAGGATTTGTAAATTTTTAGTTATATTCAATGTATAAATTTAGGATAATCAGTAAGAGAAAAAAAATTAATCAGAAAAGGAGAAATTCCTTTTTGAATATAAACTTTGTGATACGGGCAAAAAAATTTTTTTTAATCCATTCAATTTTAAAGCTATGCGTATCTAAGATAATAATAATATGAAAAATTTTAGATGATAATAATTATAGCAAAATGCATTGTGCACTACATTGCCTAAAAATACTAAACTATTTGTTTGTTAAACAGATTTTTATAATATTCACAATCAGGGCAATAAAACTTTGTATAATTTTGCCCTCTATATTAGATAAGAATGGATTTTTATGTAAGATATAGAGAGTTTGATTGATTATACAATTCATCGAAAATAGCCAATTCCAATTGTACATGGCACAATATGATAATATACACACTTCAATGATAATTTTTATTTTTGTATAACTATATATATATAGAGAGAGAGAGAGAGAGAGAGAAAAGGGAGAATATATATTCACACGCATAATTTATGAACATAATTAGCATAATTTTATGAACGTGATTCACGAGCGATAATATGGCATCTGACATATACAGAAGTCTTATTATATCAATGTATTATATGTATATATAGATATTTCATACCTATTATATATAATTATATGTATAAAAATATTAAATAAATGTGTCATATATATATATACAATATACATTCATGGAGACAATGATTCGTCCCATTTAAATGAGACAAATCAAGTCTAAAAGTTGCTTACTTCTTTTTCTTCTTTGCTTTTTAAATGGCCACTTAAAAGTTGCTTACATATATCATAAAAATTCATATCCTAACTTTTAGAGAAATCTCTTTATATAATCTATATACTTGGAATTTTAATAGTTAATCATTTTTTTTCCATGATGTACATCTATTATTTTACATAAAGTGAGATATATAATAAATATATTTAAAATTTGATTATTTTTTATAAATAATGGCAATTATAAAAGTCAAAATCTTGTATCTTTTTTAATTCTTTTTGTAAAACTTTTCATTTTTTAAACACAGTATTTGAAATGTCTTTTATATTAACTTTGTAAATAATAAATAAATAAATACTTTTAATACGTTTCATGTAAATGGAATTGAAAGGGATTGAAAAGAACATAACGAGAAAAATTCTTTTTTTTAGCTTTATTAGAAATTAAAACTGGCCATATAATTTATATTAGAAATTCTTCGGTAAAAGTCCATCCTTCTTTGTCAATCGTACTAAACAATCATCTGATTCACCCTGTAAATGTAAGTTTAATATAAGATTTTTGTTATGTAATGAGGCTAGTGTAAATTTCTATCAATATTGTAACATTAATAATTATTTGATTTAATATAATCAAATAATAATATGATTCATTGTACGAGTTTATGCGTGTTGGCTAATAATGTAAAACTTTTGCCAAAATAGCCAAAGTGATACTATTAATCAAGTCGTGCACTTGTTTATGTACATGTATATATACAGAAATAATTTATACATACCATACGACGGATTGCTCCACAGATTGCATACATCTTATGAGTGTCAGTCATGCGTCCAGTTTCTGGATCGACGTCAGCTAATGTCAACTGTATCGATGCATGATCCTTGGCGTGAATGATGCGATTGCTCGCAGAGCTGTAACATAGAGAAATATCTTCGAATGTATTTTTTCAAGGTAAATTTTATGCACTTTTTTATAATTTTTCTATTTTTTCTGTTTTTCTACGGACACATCTATCTTATTTTGTATACAAAGATATAAGGTAGAAGTATTGTTTACTAAAAAGAATAAATTTGTGGAAAATTTGACACTCTATGTAATACCTTTAACCTAATACATTTAACCTCACTTTATAGAATGTAAATTACTATTTATTACACATTTTAAAATCGAAACATTAACATTAAACTTTATCAAAGAAAAGCGCGTCGATTTTGTTATTAAATATTTCAATATAAAATTTCACATTTCTGTTCTGTATAAAATTTACAAGAATTATTCGTAACCGAAATACACACGTGTCTTACCATTTTCGTGGGATGTACAAATCAACCAGAGTTCCCAAGTCGTTTTCCATTTTTTTTATAACTGTAATAATATCGTAACACGGATAATTAATATATTCTTTCTTTATGCAGGAAAAATACAACTGTATCAATTATTTAGCAAAAATTTCTCGCTTACAATTGGCGTGTGTTCTTCTCAATATGGCTATCGAACGAAAAGACCACCGGATATATTCAATGACTGATGGTACTTCATCAATGGAGTGGTAAGATTCAAAAAGGACAAATGATTTTAAAAAACAGAGTTGTATTTTATTTCGAGCTTTATTCTAGAGATTAGTATGATAAAAGAAAATTTATTAATCTATTTCATATTTTTCTGTTATCATTATTGAAGGTAGATCAAGGTAGATTTCTAAGAAAAAATGAGAGTTACTCTTCTATATATTCTTCTTATTTCATGTCAAAACACCGGAGGGTGCTGCCATCGCGCGGGAATTCGTGGTAACCGCTACGTGAAGAACGCGGGGTTCAATCGAGGCACAATTCAGGGCAATTCGCGGGGACGATTCGATGTCATCCGTGTCTGTGGAACGACAATGTTCGGCGTCGCGTGTGTGCCAGCGAAGGTATCCCGGCGAGCGGAGTGTGGTCGTGTGGTGCTACAAAACGAACCGCGGTAGAAAATCGCGTTCAGTAGCGGAGCGCGCTGCGCACCGGATAGACGGTCGGCGATCGCGTTCGAATGCGCGCGAATGCGGAACATATGCTTGTTACGTATGTACGTACATACATACGACCGGACGAGCGATGCACCTCGTGCGTTTTCCGCGGAAGAGTAACGAGTGAATTGATCGGCACGCAACGGCCGGCCGCGGGTTCAACATGTCCATGAAGGTGAGTGTCGACGAGTCGCGAAGAGCGCCGAGATTCGCGGTTTATGTCATCGTGATTTCCGCAGAAAGATTTTTCTCCTCTAACCATCTCGATGCTTCGCGTGTTTGTCTCGAAAAAATTGCGAAGTGCATTTATGCCTCAGCGCTTGGCATCAGATATCATCACCTTTATGCCAAAACCACGAATGTGTAATTTTGTAGTGCTGAGTTATTGCAATTTGAAAATTTAATTTGCTGCGAAAAATCTTGTTTTATTCTTGTAATTCCTTCAGATTATTCAAACACTATGAATAATATTTGTTACACTATGAATAATATTAGTATTATGTACCATTGATACTTTAATAAATATTAAACATTGGTGATTGTGGCACAGAACATTTGCACGTTCGTGATTTTGACATAAGGGCGACGATATACATACAAAGGAAGGTTTAAAATGCACATTTTTCACATTCTCCCAGTGTGTTATTGTAAATTAAATTTAGCAGGATTAACATTTATATATTAAACTAGTATTCTTATTTTAATATACATTGTCTCGAATGAAAATCACACAGTAAAATGGTAATATATTTAGTATATGTTATTTATTTTCTTATACTAATCTCGAATCTAAAATTTGAAGAAATTTAAACAAATTTCAATCATTACGTAATGGTAAAAAGGATAAACATTTTACTACATTGAGCTTTCCATGTATATTGTATAACTTCATAATTGTCGTCATCTTATCGTTTATCGTTGTGCTTTTATTTTTTCTTTTGATTAGTCAGTTGTTTTTCCCAGGAAAAAGCGAAATAATTCTTTTCGATTAGCCATTGATCCAAATATGTATTTTGATTGTTATCTCTCATTCTGTGCGTCAAACACGATTCGCGTGTTACTCGAGTAAAACGCACATGACATATGTTAAATGTATACCGCAAGAATATACGTCTTATCTTTTATTAGCGCGTTATTCCTGGTTCTCTCGACGATGAATGGGCGCACCTGCGAGTGCGATTAAAAACGAAAGGCGAAATAGTCGCGCCACGAGGCGCCGTTTAACCACTTCCTCGTCCAGATATTTTCGCAGAAAACTGATCGCAGAATAAATCAGGATTTTTATTATTTAATATTTTTACTAAATTTAGAAAATGGGATTAAAATAGACTGCACTGCGTATTATGTGCGACGATTTTCAATTGGAGTATCGCACAATTCAAGGAAATCAGACAATTTAATCTATTAACAATATTTAATTAATGACTGGACTTTATTAGATAAATATTATATTAACGTTATATTATTCTCGTGACATTACATAATACTGAATGTAGGGTCTAAAGCTGATCACACCGATGTCAATGTGTGTGCGTGTACGAGCGTTTAATAGCTAGTTAAATTTGCATTCTTTATCTCCACATGATGTTACATAAGATTTACATCAGATTTTTCGAACGTATTTCTCGACGAATTCGCGATTGACAATCATAAAAATTTTGAAACAAAAATATCTTTACATTTTTCTTCAAAATATCTGTTGGTATTTATAAATTTTGAATAAAGCTGTATTAATTTTTCGAGACACATTTCTATATTTCTCTTTATAAAAAAGATTATATAAAGATTAATCACACCATATCATTCAATATCATGGAAATGTTTGAAATGAAAGTATTTTAATGTCAGGATTCGTCTCTTGCATCCTATATATCCAAAGGACATACTTGTTATTGTGCACGGTATATCGTTGCAAAATCCTGTAATAAGACTTCTCCGCGTCATTAAGTACAACTCAACGGTAACGCATTTTGCAATTTTACATTTGTAATCCGTGACACGCGCAGAATCGGTAACAGATGAACGAGTAAAGTTACAGATATGTATGTCGTTTTTACAAATCCATTTTTTTCCTGTTCGTAGAATTCTTCCAAATATTTCGGAGCAAAAGTTTTATTAAATCATAAATCCGTGAGAATGGCTCGATACGAACAAACCTCGAGAGTAACACGAATACATTCTCGATATTCCACGGGATGTTTCCTTCCTCTCTCCTTAAAAGTTGTTTATGAGATAATTCACGATCGAGTTATCTCGTAAACAGTCGAAAGCGGGGATCGAATTTTGATCATCATCGAAAAACTGCGAGGATATTTGCGCTGAAAAATGCGTTTGCGTTAAAATCGCGTGAATGAAGACGATCGGGAGCATTTTTTTTTTGAGATTATGGAGGAGCTAAAAATATATTTGTGACTTGGATGGTCCCGACAAGCCATATGCATATTCACGCGGTTACATTAATATTCTAGTATATATGTCCATTATTTATGTTACATTCCAGATCGAATTTGGTATGGAAATGTTTGTCCTCGTTATTTCGATGCGGAGTTGGCTCGGATGTATACGAAAATATCTTTTGATGAAAATACGTATTGAAAACATGTCAAAATGATCGAAGTCAATCAATTGAATAATTTCCCTCTAGTAAGAATCTAAAGAATTTAAAATTATCTAAAATTTGTATTAAACTTTCTTATAATTTTTTAAGATTTTTAATATCTTCCTAAGTTTACTCTTTATTGATTAATTAATTTTAATTTTTCCAAGAAGATGGATTATACAACGTTATCGTATTGGGCTCTCGAATTTTATATCCGTTATAACTTTAATGATTACGATATATTCATGAAACGAATTAAGATGAACTTTTAGATATTTTCTGAGCAGTTGTATAGGTCGTAATTCTTTCCAACTGTAACTACCTTACGTAAGTTCAAGGAAATGAGAATTTCATTAGCATGTTCATTAACTTGTTTTTTTTTTTTTGTTTTTTTTTTCTAGAAGGAGTCGCCTTGGGATGTGGAGCTGCATCTGGCGGCGGCACGTGGGGATGCCAAGCGTCTCCGTATTTTATTGGACTCCGGACGCGTCCACGTCGATTGCAAGGACAAGGTCAATAACATTATATAATTTTGTTCTTTTCAGAAAGTTCACTAAGCGATCGGAAAAGTTTTGCAACAATCGAAATAGAATACTCGGGACAGGCACACTAAATTTTTTCTTTAGATTGAATTCTCCTTTTTAAAGATATACTAGCTTGGGCCCTTTATGAAACGCAGTTTTTGATTACGATCTGATAATTAAATATCGGTTTAATTAGCTTGAAGCCAATATTGGTTTGATTATTTCAAAGTCATATGAATTTGCCTAGAAATGCATATGATGTCGGAAATCAAGTAAATCGAAGCTCGCGTTTTCTGATTGAAATAGCGAATAATGTTACAATAAACCGACAATTCCGCGGTAAAAGCGACGATTTTCTCTCCTCGTTGTCAGTTGGTTCATTATGCAAATGATGATGAAGAGCGAGCAACGCGCGAGTAACGTTGTACTCTTCTGGAAAGTGGTTTATTAGATCACGCGCGGACACTAATCGTGCCACTTTTCGACCTGGAAGCCAAACGCGTTTTACCAGCGAGCTCATCCGAATGAAATCGTGTCACTGTCAGGATCGAATCGAGTCATGATTTTGTTAAGCCGGCAAGCATAATAATATACTTTCTGTTCGTTCGAAATTCCAATCGAATACCATTTCGCGAATCTTCGTATTATTTATAGCTTAACGAGATATCCGACGAGTTTGATGTAAAAATAGGATATTATAAATGTAAAGAATACACTTGTAAGATTTATTTTATGAGATTTTTTATAATTTACACAAATAATGAGGTCTTTAATTATATCTAGAAAGTAAAACATCGATTTTTTTCAGCTATGATATTTTTTTACGAAGAAATAATTGCTACTTTGACGTATTATCATTGTTATATATACTACGTTATACATACTACGCGCTAATTGCGTTAATAGACTCGGGACATTTAGCTTATATCTTGATAGCTCGTGAGGATCGATTAGAAAATGTATGGCGGCATACATTCGCCGGTAACGTTCACCGGTAGAGGAAAGTTTTCGTGACCAATTGAATCTTCGTAACAAGCGTTAAGTTTTGTAAATGAGGTCATTTTCTTTCAGGATGGCACGACACCTTTAATTTTAGCTGCCGCCGGTGGCCATATCGACGCCGTGACCGAACTGTTACACCAAGGAGCGGATTCTAATGCCAAAAGACTGGTAAATCTTGATCTTACGACAAAGTTTTTATCGAACGATCTGAAAAAGAATGAATGAAATTCTTCTCGCGAGTACGTAATAGCACGAGCGCGTTCATCATCTCATTCTATATGACTAAAAATCTATGTTTAGCATAGACGAAAGAGAATATATAACTCGTCTATTTTAAAATATTTTTTAATTATTCATTTTTTGATTAATTTATTAATTATTATGAAGTATTTTATATGATTAATTTATTTAATATTTTTTTATGTTTATCGCTATTATTGATTGTAACAAGAGTGTTATCAAACAATTTATCTATGTCAAGCATTGATTATCTCTTACCAAGATCATACGAGATAGTCATTTATGAGATAAGCGATATTCTGAAGATTCTGTTACACTTTGTGTACAAAAAAATCTATCTACAAAAGCGTATCATCGAGCAAATCGTGTGCAATTTGGAGTATTTATTTTATAATTGTTGCAAAATGTATAAGATTATAAGGTGTAATCTGTAGCTACAACTATAAAACAGTTATAATGACGTGATGACATGGTGATGAGGCATTTAGCTGTTATTTTACCACACTTATTATCTTTGATCTATAACGCTGGAAAAAGCAGGGAGATGTTCCATTATATCTTATATCTTCAGGATTATGCGTTATTCTGTTCCTTTCATATAGACATCATCGTTATTTTTATCAAAACCGGTATTGAGCAGTCTTAAGATTGCATGCCAATTGCAATTAAAGAAAGGAATATTTAAGATGTATCATGAATAACATGTGATAAGCATTGTGAAATTAATTCTCTGATCAATTGATTTTTTTTGTCATAGCAAAAATTTAATCGCAGTTTATAATTTTTTCATATCTTCTTAGTTTTTTATATCAAGTATCTTGATAATCAAATTATTTAAATTAAAATATGTTAATGTAATTCTTTTTATATTAAATAGCACGCGAGAAAGAGAGAGAGAGAGAAAGAGAGATTTCTACAATATTTCTATTCTAGAAACTTAATCTGTGAGAAGTTACTCATTTGTAAAATGTAACAATGCCTGACACTTTCACTAACAATAAGAAAAAATTGAGATTCGTTGAAAATTCTGTCTTTTCTAAAGAAACTCAAATTCGACAACCTTTTTATTAAGAATATAATTTTACTTATTTTTTCGTTGTTTCTCGAAATAGAATTTGTAAAACTTCCTGGAGTGCTATGCCCCTTGCAACGTGTTGTACCTTTTTTAAACGCATGTAAAAAGTCTCAGCGCGAGACATAAAAAGCTCGTCGCGTAGCATGTCACGCGAAGTACCAGGAAGCTGTCTGGCATTTCTTTTTTAAGTGCCTCGTGAAGATTTATCGTTAAACCCACGCTTCTCTCTTTCTGCCTTGGTGTCTCGTGTACCCTAAAATTACGGCATTGTATGTAAATCGATGACAAAACTGCCAGCGTTCAACCAAACGACATTACACTGTATATCTTAAGAAGTAAAAGAGTGAAAGGATATAGAAAGTGTGTGTATTGTAAAAATTCACGATTTTTCCTTCAATATTATAATTTTTGTGAATTACATTACAGTAAGTGTTATTTATTTAATTATTTTTTGTAGCATAGAAAATCTGATCTAAAATATTTCAAAACTTATGATATATTTTATCTTATTTTTTTTTTATTATAAAAAAAAAATCACAAAAACGCAAACACTTCGCGATTTGTGTAAAACAGATTCTAGATGATCTCCAATCTCGCGCTTGATGCGATTACTATTAGGCACGACAACGAGAGAATGTTATACGAGTAAACGCGCTCACGGAAATAGAAGTGTATAACATTCAATGATGGAGTTAATCATATATGATCCGTGCTTCTTTCCTGAGATTGAGTATAAACGATGATGATGAGCGGCATTGCGCTCGGCACAGAATTACGCAAACGTTATTTAAAAACCCGTTAAACGTATTCGTCATCTTATGCAATCAGCAGATCGAGATCCAGGATCATTTTCAAGCTTGGCTGGAAAACGCGATCCTCTTTAAATTAATACTCTGGTATTTCAAGACCGTTACTTACAGACGTAATTATATCTTATTTCGATTTTCATATTAATTTCTCAGTAGTACACGTATGATAGTGGTAAACTGTTAATAAATCGTTTAGAAGGAACAGTAATTAAACGTAAAATTTTAATCTACGAAAAAAATCATGTGTAAAGCTTTTTTCTTTTCAAATTTAGAAAAAAATCCGCAGAGAATTTGGAATTTTAATAGCTGTTCCTTGTTGATTCTAAAACGCTAATCTGAGAGAGGATATTTAATGATTTGTAATATAAATATTCGCAAAGCTAGAGACGAGCTATTAGGATCAAATGAAAGAAAGGGAGAGAGGGAGAGAAAATATTTCAAGGTTGCTTAAATGAAGCACACGTGAGTTTGTGCTATAACGCTGTGTTATAATGCAAGTTCGCGTGATTCTAATAGCAAAGTGTAAAACATGCAACAACGGTAACGTGGCAATTCAGGAATTATCGCTGACACTGTGTATTTATAATCTATTAACCCTCTTACTTTTTTTCTCTTTCTATCGGATGTACTATCATAAATATATAGAATTAAAAAATCGCACGAGTGCGTATGTATGTCATAAAGTGCTCATGTGTTATTCGTGAAACATTAGAAAGAAATTCAATAAGAAGGAAATGAATATATCATATTTCCAAAATTTAATTTTTTATTTATTATATACACATTTCTTTTAATTCTTACATATAATATCTTATAAAATTTTATTTGCCAAATCTTTTGCGAATCTTTGGCAATCAATCATCAATATCTTTTGAATAAATGTAACGTTTAATTATGCTATTTAATCTTTTTCTCGTTCACATTAACTTGGCATTTATTGTGACTTTAAATTTTAATACGCAATTGTACTGCAGAAAAGTTAAAAGAAGAAACTTCTGTAGATGTATCATCTAAAAATTTTCTATGCGCGATTATTGATCGTCTAAAAATGGACAATACTGGCAAGGGTGAATGACATCGCTAGGTCGTCCGACAGTCTCATAAATTATAGGTAGGTAGGTAGGTAGTCGCGCGCTGCAAACATCACACCATGAACGAACGTTAATTGAAGCGATTCTGTAATATAAGGCATCGATCAAAATTGTATTTAATAATCGATCAAGTTTAATCTCATCCAGTGAGAGTATCACGCGCCATTTATTATTCTGATTATCTTTCGACCATTTTCCGGTGAATTAATTGAACTTGACGCCCCGCGCTCTTGCGAAACGAAAATAACTGACCTTTTGTTGTCCCACTTGGGACCGATGTACAATCGGCGGAATTTGCATTTGTAAGCTATAAAACGCGATACCGCTATGCACACATGCCGTGACTGATTCAGCAGACATCTCTGGAGTACAATGAGATCTTCAATTCGTATCTTACATCGGATTTATCTCTGACAATCAGTTCTAATTTTTGACCGATTAAAATATTACATTTTTTTTGCAAATATTTATATTATTCTTACAAAAAACGCTCAAAATTTATATGCATATAAAAAGGAATTTACTTATGTTAGATTACTAAGATACTCTAACTAAGCTCATTCTTATAAAAACTATTTTTAAATATTTTTATGTATTATCTCTTTTAGCATATATTTATCGCTTATATAACTTTTTGTAGATAACACAAATCAGAAAAAAGAATTTTTGAGCCTTCCAAGATATCGATTTAATTTTAAAATTTTGTTCAACGTTTTAAATAAAAATAATTCAATTATTTTAATTTAACAATTTCAGATATATATATCATCGTGCATTTGATCCGTCAGGTTGATTGAATATTTCTGCGAGTGCCTCCTTACGCATGATTGCACTGACAGTCGAAGCGAAAGAAACGTGTCGCCTCGACTTTTACCGCCAGACATGACAGGTTGCGATCGTCGCGTTATAGAATTTCTGCGGTTTAGTAATGGATAGGTATGTCCCCCGCTTCGTTCGCCACGCATCGCGGCACATGTAACTCCATGCTCGTTGCATGCACCCGCGCGGCCCATTTCCAGACAGGGGAATCCGCTCTGCAAGTTGCAAAAAAGAAAATAAAGTTCACCGCGCCTTGCAAATGGAGTGCGCAGGAGAGCAGAACTCCGAAAGATAAGCGCGATCAAGAATGTAGGAGGAAGAACATCTACACAAGAGAGATTTTAATCTCTTCCTTTCTCATTAAAAATAATGTTAATACCAAACAAAAAAATGCGCCACATACCTCGCAAATTAAAGTTTTTAAAAAATGTTTAATCTCATTTTTCAGAAAGAGAAAAGTAGAAAAACAGGATAAAGCTACGAGAACTTGTCGTTCCAAGAGAAGCTTTTATGGCAGTGAAAGTACATTTTACTCACGACGGGTTATATTTATTTAGGCATGGGCCTATAAGATCTGTACAAAGGAGACGTCAAAATAAATCATGAGATTAAAAAGTTATAATATCTGTAGAAATTAAATCCGTATAGTAAAATAAAAATGTAGATAAGAGGGGGATGAACTCTGTTGCAATTTGTATTACTTTTTCTTCGAGTCAGATTTAGGTAACATGAAATATATATAAGGAATCTTTTATAAATAAATTTTGTTACAATTAAGATGTATTATTGAAAAGATTTTAAATTAATTCTTAAATTAATTCTATCACAAAGAAATCTTTTGATGAAAGAGTTATGTTACGCATCACGACGAGAAATTTGGAAATATAATTTATCCTAATATTAATTCGGACGGTATTATTGCCCGAATAATTTTAAGAAATATTTTAAGAAATCTTAAGAACTCTGCGCTCGTGTTGTAAAAAAAGAGTGATTTAATTTTCTTTCTCAGATTGCTTTCAAGAAGCGTGTCAAATCTTGCTGCGCTTATTTGAAAGAGCACTGTGTAAATTTGGCAATTTACTAATATCTCGTGCCGTTTCTCGTTTCTACTTTACTTTTCACCTTATTTCTTTCCGCGCGCTTATAGGATCGAAATCGTATTCCTTCCTTCTCCTTCCCCAAAGAATTTATGCTCCTTCGTGAAAGCGTAACGCCGGATTCTAATTGCTTCGTCATGTAATATCGAAGTTCGTATCTCGAAATAAACCAGAAACTCCGATTGTATTTCGATATCGATGAGAGTTTCGAAAATTTACTGCTTCGCGCGCGAGCACGACATGTGCTTCATGTAGCGGATAGTCACGCTTTATAACGCGAGTCATTATCTTAAATTAGGTGAAGGACAGGTCCGCGTACGTTGTATTGTAAAACGGCGTTACGGTGCTTCATAGAAATCGATAGTTAAAGACTGCGAAATTTCAGTACAATCGTATTATGTACGATCGACGAATTGATTAATAATTGCAAATGATGTTCTATTATAAGGAACACATCTTTCGTAGATAAGGCCTTATATTATCGATCCCCTCTTTCTTCTCTCGTCTCGTCTCGCCGATCAGAACGATGGTCTAGTCATATTCAATGTGTTAGCGCTATCATCGTGCTTATCTGCATATAGAAACTGTTACGTATCGCTAAGAGTTTCGCGACTTTACAAACTCCACTTTGGACTTACAATTAGATGGAGTAGTCCACTTAACTCGAGTATCTCAATACTCGAGGAAGAGAGAGAAGAAAATACTCTCTCTATGATATTTATTTAAAACAGAAATATATATATAATAAATAAATTATCCTTAAATAGAGAAATCGAGAAATCATCACAGAAAAAATTTTTCTTCCCATAAAATTATAAGATACATCCGTCTAGATTTACATAATTTTATTTTTATTTTTTTAGTGAATATAAAAAATTGTCTCCTCTCAAAAAATATTAAAAATATGATATCTATGACAGTATAATCATATATATGGCATATAATGTAATAATGTTTATATTGTTTTTGCAGACTGGGACAACGGCTTTGTTTTTCGCCGCCCAGGGCGGTTACATGGACATCGCGAGTCTACTTCTGGAGCACGGCGCGATCGTGGATTCGTGCAGTATAGTAAGTGAGAGGCAACGGCGTGTAAACGAGATCTCGATGCTCTTTAAACACCAATTTATTCCACGTGGATTTCAGGATGGGGGCACGCCGTTGTTCGTCGCATGTCAATACGGTCATCTAGACGTGGTGGAGGGCTTGATAGAGAGAGGTGCCAATCCGAACGCTCATATGAAAGTAAGAGAGCAGAATTATTCTCTTCATACCGATAAAATTTTATACATCGAGCATGAGAAAATAAGAGGGTAATAATTTATCAGCGTTATACTTTAATTGATTTTCGTCAAGCTCTGTTAAACTCGTCAATTACTTATGTTTCTCATAACGTATTCGCGGTGAGTGACTTCAACTAATTTAAAAATCTATCTTTACGAATAGCTTTAGATTTCTAGAGATAAATAATTATTTTATCAAATGTAAATCTTTCAAGTTTTTTATCGAATATAAATCTCTCTCAAGTTGAGATATAAATTTCTTCGGCAATTTGAATTATTTTTTATACAATAAGAGTATTCAATAAGAATTTATAAAATTGAAGTTTATCGCTATCAGAGCGATTCAACTCGGTCGAAAACGTTACTATCATATGTGTTTGAGACAACGGTGCGACATTAATATACAAAAGTTAAGAATTAATTATGGCTTGTTAGGACGGCGCCACAGCACTGTTTATCGCCGCCCAGAACGGTCATCTTCGTATTCTGGAGGTTCTTCTGGACCGTGGGGCGAAGACGGACGCGGCGAGAACAGACGGTGCCACGCCTCTCTGGATCGCGTCGCAAATGGGACACGATCATATCGTTAGAAGGCTGTTGAAAGCCGGCGCCAAAGTCGACGCCACTAGACACGTAAGTCTTGCGTTTCGAGAACCTTCGTCACGTTTTCCATATATTGCAGAAACCGAGCTGTGTTATGTCACCACGAATAATCTGCTCTTATAGGACGGCGCGACTCCGCTTTTCAAAGCCGCCCACAAAGGTCACACCGCCGTCATCGGCGAGCTGCTCAAGTATCGTCCCTCGCTTGGCGTACTTCCGGTAAGTCTCAGCATAAATATTTAAAAAAAAAGTAACAATTAAGCATTTTTGCAAAGTAGCCTTATCTAACGACGACAGTCTATTTTAAACGATCTAAAATTCCACAATTAAAAACATAGTTGTAGATATACATGAGAGAAGGCGAGAGATATATCTCTATATATGATATAATACAATTATATATATGTATGTATATGATATCTAAAATGCTATTCATAAAGCATATTATATGTAAGGAATGACTAACATTCTTTATTGTTTTGAGAATGGCGAAAGTGCACTGCACGCTGCAGCCTTGACGGGACACATGACAGTCGCGAGGCAGCTCGTGGGAGCGGGGGCAGATCCTTTGCTCGTAAATCAGGAGGGCATCACGCCGCTTCAACTGGCCGTCAGGCATTCGCAAACGCAGGTCGCCAATTACCTAAGGGATAAAGTGAGAGTGCGAACCGCATCCTGTTAACGATACTTTCTCCTCTATTTCGATATTATTTATATCGAGAATCTCGAGATATCGTTCGGCTCAAATATTTCTAAGCAGGATAGACACACCAGAGCAATGCGAAAAAAATAGCTCGACATAATCTGTGTCTCCATAAGAGTTCTATTACTGGTAAGAGAATCTTATAATGTTATATTTAAAAAATTATTTTATTATTTTGTTATATATATTTTATTAAAGGATATATCTGTTATATATTTTTTGAGAAAAAAATATGCGAGCATTTTTAATGTGAGCGTATAATATTTGTTATTCTCTTATTGTTAATAAAACTCTTATTGACACTGAAAATAAAACTAAGTTACTTTTTGGTACACTGCTCTATATTACATAAGTGATATTAATGATGATCGCTAAACATGCCAAGTATGAGACAATGAAAAGAAGTTTAGTTTCACGTAATAATATGAGTGAACACACTGACAAGCATAAATAAGTCGATTATATCAATAGAGATTGTGAGCGAGCAGAAATCCGTCTTTATAAGAGAGTGATTAGGTCTGTTTATTTTAATTGCTCTATTTTTCTCCGAAACCTGAATGTATGCCAATTTGATTTTAAGTAGAGAAAATAATGTAAAAAGTGCAATTGAAACGAACAGATCAATTGTTAGGTAGTGTATATAATCACGATACCGTTCCATTCTGTGGTAAATATCCCAGTAAAAATATTTTAATACATTTTCTACTGTAAATATAGTATGGCCAAAATGTTATAAACGCCGAAAGATGATAGATCTGTTTCTTTCTGTATTTTGCAGTATGTATAACGCATCTAAAACATATACCATAGATTTTTCAAACTTATTAGCTATAATCTCATGTTATGAAAATTCAACGTCTGTCAGCAGTCTGGAGCATAATTACCAGAAAAGAGATATTGAGATTTATCGAAACTGATGAGTTTCAAAGACTGACTGATTTGCCTTGAAACACATATTTTTTATTGTTCTATTATTCTATAAGATCTTCTATCTATTACATAAGAGGGATGTGCAAGACGATAAGGTTATAGTTGTCATATTTGTTTATAATACATTTTATTAAAATACGAATATATCGATGCACCGGACAATGTTCTGCAAAAAACTGCAACAGTTCAGCGCATACATATACATCTCAATTATCAACAAATAATTTTCTTACCAAAATAAATAGATTACAAGTGTGATATTTGAACACTTCAATATATTTAAATATTTTGTAATAATTTTAGCTTTATGGGAAAGTAATAAGTACTCTTCCCGTCTTCCTAACACATAGCACTCGGTTCATTAGTTGTAATTATTGTTATTGTTGATGAAAAAGTGCGAAAAATTAATAAATAACTTTATAAAGAAAGCAGTTATCGCTAATGATATATAAAAGTTATATACATTACAAATATATTTCGTTATAAAGTAGGATTGATATTATTGTTCCTTCACGAGAAATATATTATGTGTATTTATTACATAAATTTATATATATATGAGATATATACATATGTATATAATTATTACTGTATTAATATTTATATTTTGTTGTATTTATCACAGAATAATTCACATAGCACATAGATCATAAATTAAAATTATATTTCAGGCTAACATTATGTTTGAATAAACTGAATAATTTTTATTAATTCTATGATAGTGATACTATAACAAAAAACTGGAATTAATGCAATGTAGCAAGTTATGTCCATATCTTTAATTAATAACAAAATCTATTTGGCTTTTTAATTAATAATTAAGAAAAGTAATTTTTTATTTTACAAATTAAATAATTCTAATTAAATTAATAAAAATAACTTATTATTTCGTTTAAAAATTAAAAATTATACATATTACATGTTATAATTTCTCTATCTTGTTTTTTCTCCTCTGTAAATGTTATCATTATATACATATATATTAAGATATATATTTTCATTTTTCTCACTTTTTTCTCTTGTCTGATATCTTAAATTCGCATCTTAATTTCACAAAATTCTTAAATATATGCATTATATATAAGTATAAATAATTTTGTAGATTATTTTTATAAGCAAAATAAATAATCGGCTTATCAAGTTTTATTTTAAATAAGAATATTACTGCTGTTTTTTTGAAAAGAAGAAAAAAAATTTCTGTGTGAATACATTTCGTTTTTTCTCTCTCTCTTTCTCTTAACTTTACTTAAATAAATGATAGTATTTACAATCGATATATGTATTACATTACTTTGTTTGCAGTATTAATGAATTAATAAATTAGAAACGCGCAATTGTAATTGCTTTAATCATCGGCCTTGCAGCACACAGCTGTCAAGTGCCCATTTCCTATTTCATTTCAGATGTAAAGTACCTTCCACTTATAACACTGTACTTTACTCTAGAAGCGTGCCACGCATTTCAGTCAAAAGGAGTCACACTTTCGACGGTATTTATCGTCAATACGTTCGACTACGAGTTACGAAGTCAACTGAGAAGGATTTTATGCGATATCCATAGTGCACTGATAAGAGAGATAACGAAACATCGCATGTATTTTGCTCACAAAATTATCAGTTATATACCGATTCTGAAGGAATACTCATCATGATTCGTGATCGTATGCCCGATTTGCGTGCCGTTAGTACTCTTCTTTTTTTCTATAAATTATTAGAAATTTATCGAAAAGTATAGCTTGAAATAATCAGTCATGTACATTGTTCCAAAAAATGCGGTCATGTATGAATCATGTGTGCAAATAAAGTTGTGACAAAGAAAGAAATATCGCTTTAAAAAATCGATATTCAGAATTCATTACTATACTTTTTCGCAGTTATTTATATAATTTAAGGCCACTTTGTGTAAACTCCGATTAACTTGCGATCGCCGATTAACTTATCAAGTAATATCTATAATATTTTATTGATATATACACGCATATATGGATAAAATTATTAATTTTGTTGCTTGCGACATGGAAAAAAATTAGATTAGGAATTACGAATTTCATAGTTAGAAATTTGAGCAATTCTGCTAGTTAAAGTAATCGTCGATTAATTTAATCGGAGTTTAATCGAAATAGCCTTTAAACGGCAAACCTATGAAATTATCAAATAATGTACTAATTTTTTCAGAGCCGAAGTAACAGCAGCACCTTTGGCAAAGGGTTCTTGCAAGAAGTACACCTTCAAATAGCCCAAAATAAAAAGCTGAGGGAATTGCTCGACGAAGTACGTATAAATATTAAAATCATTTATCTCGTAATAAAGATATGCATTGTGTTAGGTCGAAGAAATACGCATGCTGATCCAGCTTATAGACAAAAATGTTTCTATTGTAAAAGACTTGCACAATAATATTCTATCGCACACGAATAAGGGTAAGTGGCAATAACCATAAAATAATAGTATAAATCTAAATTTATATATATGTATATTTATACATATGCATTTACAGACATACAAAAAGAACTGGAGACGCGCACGAGTACGATCTCGCAGACGGCTTTTCGCGTGCAGCAAAAGTTACGAGGTAGGTAGATTTGTACATGAAATAACTCCTAGACAATTCTCTCTCATGGCGCGCGTTCGTACCGAACAAAATCACACCATTGGGTTTCATCCTATTTCTTAAAAAATTTACGCCGAGGAGTACATTCTGGTGATATTTCTCGCTCACTCGAGGATCTATGTAATCTTGGCGTGAAAGAATCGCTACGATACGAATTTCGAATCGATATAGGAGTACTGGAAACAAGGTTTGGCTCTGGAGGTGGCGTTTGTATCGACAATAATCTTTCCAGATGTGCCGACGGATTTGTATCTAACGTATCGTCGTAAGGTGTTGTGAGTTGCTGCAAGCAAATATTAGAATCTACCGATCTGTTCTTGTAATGCATTATCATCGAAGGTGAAAGACGATGGAGTAGAATTTTGGGCATCGATCGCCTGCATAGATTCAATAATTCCGAATTATCCCTGTGATTTATAATAGATGATGAATTAGCGCTCCTACTATTATCGCTCTCTGAAACGGCTTTGTCTTTCAGTTTCCTGAAACATTATATTATCTCATTGTGTACATAAAGGAAGATTTATAAATTCATTTATAGACAAATACATACCGTTGATAATGATCCATTTCTTTTTCCAATTCAGGATATTCATTTAACATACCAAGTAACTGCTCTTCGTCGTATTCCGAGTAGATCTTGAATAGCAGATTCTCCACATCATCTTCCAAGCAAGACTTCAAAACGGCAAGTTTTTTTTTCAGCGTAATTAACGTAGGTAACAAATTGTCTAAATTGTGCTTCTTTATCGCCGCTATGATAACATTCGCCGCGTTATTATTTGACGTGTTAGGAGTTTCCTCGAGCTCCGATGTATCACCCTTTTGCTTCTCACTGAAGGACGATAGTTGCAAACGGTTATTACCGATTATGAACACTGTATCCTTCAAGACACATGCCCCCTCCTCTGTTGTAACGTCAATGGAATCATGGTCACATATTTCACCAAATATATTCCTGGTTAATTTCATAATCAATTTAAGTTTCGCCGACGCATCTAAATGTTCCAGCATAAATTCATAAATAATGTTACGCTTGTCTTGATTCAACCTTCCAGGTAACGTCAATAGTTTCTTCTCTCGATCGCTCATTCTGTGACCACAGAACACACTATGGGACCGATAATTGTTGTAATGATATATACTCTCGAGGAATTGCTTGAAAATTAAAGTCTTATTCTTCGTTAGGAGTTTTTCTTCCACTAGGAAGATCGTCAGTTCGCGTATCATATTATCCGCATCGGACAGCATCGTCAATATGTGAAAAAAGAATGGTCCCTTCATCTTTATAAAATCCTCCAGCAGCAGTTGAATAAATATCACAACTATGGCTTCTCTCACACCCGGATTCGAATCCTTCATGCTAATGCACATGTCAGGCAAATACGGTTCCACTAGATCGGTAAATCTCACACAAATATCAGCCAATGCTTTCGCGGCGTTTATCTTGACTGCGGTCTTTATCGGCGAATCCGGATTTGTTTCTTGGCGCATTAAATTACCTAATATCGGCGTGACTTCTTTTGCGATTTCGCGATCTCTCAGCGCTTGCTGACAAAGAATGACTACCGCGGATGCCTGCAGATTCTTCGTCTCTTTCGCAGCCTCTGGCAACAATTCCCATTGTAGCAACAATTGTTCTAGAGCTCGTAAAGTTGACAACGAAATCTTGTTGGTACACAAAAGCGACGCGTGACCCAATGTACATATAGCTCTTATTTTAAGTGTTTCTTGCGTAAGACTTCTACTTTCTTCCTGTCTTAAATCTTGAATCTCCGCCTCTGATAGCTTCATTAGTTCCAGCATATTCGTTTCCATCAATTGACTACTCTTTTCGACATGCAAATATCGTAGTACGGCGCTCAGAATATCCAGGCAAATGCTGATTAAGTTGAACGTGATCTCAAAGCGGCAAATACATTTGTAGAGATACTGATGGAGATCCTCGAGGCAATCACGATCTAAAACAGACCACGCGTGCCTCAAAACATGCAGAACCAAACTCGCATAGTAATCGTTCTTCTGGATTATTTCCTTATAATTTGCGATATATTTATCTATAGTCGGAATCTTCATATTCTCAGCTAGAGCCGCTAACAGTATCCACGCGCCTATGTTATTACCTGTACCGATGTGCGATTGTAAATTCGATATCACAGAGTTTGTAATAACGCCATTCTTGATCCACAGACCGCAAGCTTTGGATAAATGCTTTCTCATTCTCATGTTACTCAATTTCTCTAACACTCTCCACGGCAGATTATTCGCAGCATCCGGAATATATGTAGAGGCTTTCATTATCCTATTTAACAACACGTTTCCCAAACATTCCAATACCTTTTCTTGTACTTTAACTTCGATATCGTATATCTGCGGTACAACAGCCTGTGTCCATTCGTCGAGGAGACTCAAATTATGAGGGAATTGTTCTAAAATGTCTGAAAAAACATGCACCGCGAATTGACGTACAGTCAAGGTGGGATCCCTGCAACGATCGCTTATCACATGCATCGTCTTGTCTGTAAGCGCTGGGAACATGATGGATAAATTTCTTAGAATCTTCAGAGCGCTTCGTTGAACTAGCGCGCGTTCGTCATTAACTCTGTCCAGTAACATCGCAACAACAATATTTGATCCTGGTAACGGATCAATGTCCTGCGACAACGCTTTTTCCAACTCGTCGAGCATAGGAAACGGTTTATCCGAGGCTGAAGTTTCAAATATGCTTTCAAGAATCATTTTATCGGTATCATTGTTGCAATCAGAAAAAGAAGCAAATGTGGCCATGGCTTTTCCTCTTACCAAGATTGACTGATCCATACAACGGGACGATACAACAGCTACTAAAATTCTTCTCATCTTTATTTTCATATTTTCGTTTAGATCGTTATTCGATAAAAAAAATTCCGTCAAAAGCTTTCCTATGATTTCTTGTGCGAATAGTCTATAAGATACCTTACCATTGTGTGAAAATAATATTATATCTTTCAAAATCGTTATTATAATGTTCATATTACATATATTTAACAGTTTTATTATAACAGCTGCTTGCCTTTGGCGACCCTCTGACCTTTCTGGACATTTCACCATCAATTGATGTATTAAAGTTATAATTGCCTGCGTTGTTTCTGTCTTGTGAATTTCCAACAAACTTTTTAAAAAATACATAACTGTCTCATGCATAATGATAATAGACTTTGGTTGCACATTTGTATGTTGAAATAACAGATCGGGCAGTATGTACTGCGCTATTAACATTATAGTCATGGCAACAGTGCCATGATTACTACTGCATAGTTCTTGCAAAGCTGTAAATGCATTCTGAGACAATGATGTTAGACCATAATTGTTGTGAGACTTAATATACATCTCTAGTCTAGTAATATCCAATAATATGCATATTGTAATATCTAAGGACTCTGTATGCTCCTTGAAGCGAAACGATTTTAACATCACAACAAGATCGCAAATAATCCTATTTAATTCTTTTACAAGCTCCAACTTTTCCGAATCTAACATAACATAACAATCTGCCGATTCGTCATCAATATTAGAATTTAACACAGTTGTTTCTTTGCCACT